TTTTTTTTTTTTTTTGCATGTCTTAACAGAATATGGTAGCTTCAATATGAAGTCATTGTTACAATGAGGCGACGTAGTGAAGTCCCGTCTATGGTTGATTGGTAAAATTGAATTAAATGATAAAAGCCAATTACGACAAGTCTTCGACATTCATCCTGTCCTGAAGGAAGGTGTTTCACAAACAAAAAAGTTCCCATCCGCCCAATGATCACACGATGATCCGGCTATACTGACAATCAGAAACACTTTGAGAAAGTGGCATGTGTTTCTTCTCGTTCTAGACTGATTGGTATTGATCAGACTTCAACGTAGCATCAGGTGTGAGTTGCAACCTGTTACCAGGACACTCTCTATTCCCGGCATTGTTTGTCAGGGTATTTCTGGGTTCTACCGTTGCCGTTCGTCGCAGTGAACAAGGAGAAAAGAGCAGCGACTTGACACAACTTCTGAAACGCTTGCTCTGGAAACAGTAAATAATCGGATTCACGGACGAATTTAAAGTCACCAGGACTACCGTTGTTGTATGTACTACTCCACCGTGGGAGTTCAATCCGTAGAAGTCCAACACATAGACAATCAGGTTTGGAAGCCAACAAATCCCGCACACAATTGTCACTATGAGTGCCATTTTCGTGACCCGCTTGCGTGACTTGATCACGGCGTGTTGCGTGAGTTCCACGGGCTGTGATGTCTTCACCCACAGTTTAATGACCACTCGTGTGTACAGAAAGACCATGATACTTAGCGTGATGATACCAAACACAATAAGCCATCCCAAGCTGTAAGCATTCATATACCAGCCCGCTGACCAATCCTCGTAGCAAAAATCTATAGCCTGATCATACTTCACCAGCACAAACAAGGGAAGATTCCAGATAACCGCAAACATCCAACAAGCTGGAATGATCCATTTGAGTTTCGCTTTGGAAATGCGTCGCTTTTCATCGTACGGATAAAGTACAGCAAAATATCTTTCAAATGCAATAGCGATGAGTGACACGACAGACACCACGCCTCCTGTCCACACTAGGTTCCCTCCAGTTAGGAACTTACACAGGTAGTCACCAGTGAGGCCTCGTGGATGCTTATACGTGTGTAGGAATATGTATTGAGGAGCTATGAAGATGGCGACCATCATGTCAGCGCAGGCAAGGCTAACAAGCAAATAGTTCATGGCGTTCCTCATAGACCTGTTACGTAGAACAATTAAGCAGACTATCGAGTTGCCAACGAGGTTTACTGTAACAATTAGCGAAAAGGCCACCCGAAGACCGATCTGCGCCGGTTCAGAGTATGTGAATAGTGACATCACGTGTAGTAGGATCAAACGGGGACGAACGACAAGGAAAACAGATCTGAAAACAACAGGAACAGATTAAACAATGATTCATAAGCTATTGTGATAGAATAACGCCTCTTCTAATTACATCACGCTTTCTTGAATACACTGGCTTTAAGCCTCGCATTTAGGAGTTGTGCGCAAATATCACTTCAGTTTCCACTCCTAGTATAGTTCCACTGTTTAAGGAGTATACTTATTAAAGATTAAAGATGTATTGACAGACAGACACTTAACCAGATGGTACGCTCCCACCATCGCAAAAGGCGAACTTTATAATAACTTGTCAGACAAAAAAATTCAAGACCCTGGAACTCAAGCACAATAAAATAATTTTCTTCATACGCATGATTTTCTGGCCCAAGAATTAGAGAAATTCAAGAGATATTTACAAATAATTGAATCTAAAACCTTTTTTAAGACAATACTACACCTGCAACATTGAACAAGTGGTCTATTTTTTCAACGAAGACGTTTTACTTTAAAATCAGAATTTTCAACTTCAGTATTTGAACCATACTGGTATAGAAAACACAATATATTTGCATTTTAGGAATTTGGACGTCAGTAAAATAATTCTAGCAGAGAAAAGCACAATCCATTCTAAGTTTTTAAAGTACAGTTTACCTGTTTAGAAACTCAGGTCTGCTCCAAAAAGATTAAAATTTCTTTTAAAGTGGAAGTCACTGAATCGGCTTTTCTAACGACTTCAATCAATTTATGTTCAGTTCAACGACTGTTGTTAGAGGACATGCAACCCTTAACTTGTTGATGCATTGAAGAAAAAATAAAAACCTATCAGCTTAGCTAATATCTGCTTCTAAAATTCAACCAATAAAGTGCGAGTAAAGTTTACTTTAAAAGGAACAGTTTTAATCATCGGAGAGGTAAGGCGCCTCAGGTAATTCTTGTAATCCTGGATCTTCGATACATCTGCGACATATCTCTTCCAGTGTTTGAAGAAGCTTACCATAATCACTTGTAATTCAAAAAAGGTGATTTAAGTTAAGTGATAGTATCAGCGCTACTTGTGCGTGGCGTTAATTATATCATTATCATTATTGATCTATTATCATAATACTTGCTGAGTTCCATAATGTTAAAAGCTTCTTCCTTTCACTGTATCCTCACAACAAAGGCACACAAATGATATGTCAAATGTGAGGAGGTCCAAACACCTATAAGCTTTCTCGTTTCTTTTAATTCTCCTTGTCACTTCAGTTAAAGTTTTTTTCTTACATTTTTGTCAAATTCTTTTGTGTGGCAACCAGCAAAATATGGAAAAAACATAAATAAATAAACTCATTTTGATTTTTTTTTCCATTGATTATTTCTCTCTATTTTATTGATTATTTCTCTCCCATCCATTATTGATGCATCGTAAGATGCACCGCGGCTGATAAAGAATAAATTAAAGTTATAGCTAAGAAAAAGTGTCTTGATCTGCTACCAAAATTCTTTGAACTGAACCTAAACCAATAAATAGCAGTCCAAATACGCGGGGCGAATGGACAAACATTGCTATAAATGAACGTGACGGCATCTTTCCATCTCCTTGGGGTCGGACAAAAGTTGTAAAATATCAAAGACAACCGGATGTAATTAATATTGAGCTGATATCGTTGAAGGGCACGTCAAAGATTTCAACAAGCACCTATATCTACATGCCATAGATTCTGTTGTTGGGCTAATTGGTCACTAAGTCGTCTTTTCAGTGATTGTATTAACCGACTGGTAGAGAAATAGGTAGAAATGTGTGCTTTCAACCACAATAAGGCGGGGGCTGGGGGAGGGGGTTGGATCGCCCTTTTGAGCATTAAACTGTACCGACATAGCACAAATTAAGGTGTTTTTATATGGACCAAAAGGCAAGTCGACGTACGAGTTCGACGCCAATGGCCACGGCAATTCCATCAAACTGATTTCTTCGTAGACTTTAATCAAAACATACCTAAAGGAAAACTTTATTTGTGTACAGACGGCAGTTTGTCGAAAGGCAGACGTGATAGGAGGCGTGTAAGCGGTCCTGTGGTCACTTTCTCATGCTTTCGTTTACAGCGCCCTGTGCTGTCAAATGCCGTGGGAAATTTTAGGCAAAAATGATTTTCTTGGATTTCCTTTGAAAAACATAACATTATTTCACCTGCCTTTCGTCATTCACAGATCAAGAGAAAAACGGCAAGCAAGCTCACGAAATTACCGTTTTATTAACAAAACAGATCTATGTTGTATTTAGTAATATAAACGGTTGGAACATGATCGTCTGATTAGTCAAACTAAAATTAAGGGAACTGATAGACCTACTACTGAGATATGTCATCAGCTTGTTAATATTTTTTAACATTTTGCAACAGCAGTCTTTTCTGGCTGGAGGTTAGGTAAAGTTTAAAGAAAAATGGTTTTTAAAAAGTAAGTTCATAAAACACTCTAAAAATTATTGTTTCGCGATAAAAATGCTTCAAAAAATGAGAAGCAAACAAGCAAATTCGTAAATTTTAGTAAGAAAACGATATAATTAAGTTGATTCTTAAAAGCTTAATTAATTGAACTTTTTCTAATTTGTCCTTTAGCAAATTGCTTCTTCAAATATTAACTTGTTCTACTTAATATTAGTGACAATTGCCGGGCGTCCAGCATGTTACGTCATGGCCACAAAATCACTCTCTGTCGAAGGACGTGCATGTTTGTCATTATAGAACGATATCGCGATATTGCAGCCTAGCTTTGTTGTAGCTACAGTGGTGAGGGAAGATTGACCTGTGCAATGATATTTTCCAGGCTATTTCCAACGAAGGTGAAGAGAAACGTATTTCTTGAATTATTATTCATTTGATATGTTTTTTATTTTTTATTATTTTTTTTTTTTTTGCCACACATAGGGAACAATTGTATCGAAGAAAGAAGACAGCATCAGAGACAGGAAGCGGAGAGAGAACCTTAGAGGAACCATGAAGCTTAAGATATTAGACCTTTCATTCCAAAACTTGTTAAAGCATATTAAAAATTGGATAAGACCATGTACTGTACGTAAACAATATGACAGCCTAATATGTTCTAAGTTTCAGGACTGAACTCTTAAAGTTTAAACACTTGCCAAGTTTGTCCAATCATCTGTTGAAACTATATATAGCGACAGTGAGCTAGAATAAACACGAATGGACACGTAAGGCCCGTTCCAAACGTCGGCGCTCCATTCATGCGCCGAACCTAACTGATGAGTTAAGTACGGCAGGAGAGCGGCGTTTGAATCAGTTTGGCTCGGCAGGTTAGGTTTGGTGCGGCAAACAACATTAAATTCGGCACGGTCTGCCGCACTATGCGACGTTGGAGCGGCAGCTGATTCATACGGCGTTCTCCTCATGTGTCGAACCTAAT